TTGTAAACGCTTTTTTGTAGCCAGCCAAGAGTCTTTCAATTCTTGTTTGAGTATCTTTGCCCATTCTTCCTTACAAAAGTCTTCCAGTTCTTTGAGATTTCTGGGCTGTCTCTCACGCACTCTCTTTTAAGGTCTATCCATAGACTTTTTCAGTTATGTTGAGGTCAGGAATTGTGAAGGCCATGGCAAAACCTTCAGTTTACGCCTCTTGATGTAATCCCCCGTGGAAGGTGTGCTTAGGATCATTATCCATTTGTAGAAATCCTCTCTTTAACAGCTTTTTCACAGATGGCATCAAGTTCCATCCAAAATTTGCTGAAATTTTATTGAATCCATTTTTCCTTCTACTCCTGAGATGTTCCCTGTGCCACTGGCTGCAACACAACCCCAATGCATGATTGATCCAACCCCAGGCTTAACAGTTGGACAGAGGTTCTTTTCATTAAATTCTGTGCCCCTTCTTCTCCAAACGTACCTTTGCTCATTCCGGCCAAAAAGTTCAATTTTAACCTCATCGGTCCACAGAACTTGTTTCCAAAATGCATCAGGCTTGTCTATATGTTCATTTGCAAAGTTCAAACAATGATTTTTGTATCGAGTTGAAGAGGTTTTCTTCTGATGACTCTTCCATGAAGACCATATTTGTACAAGTATCTCTTTATAGTGGGTGTACCACAACTCCAGTGTCTGCCAGATCTTTCTGGAGGGATCGTGCAGTCAAACGTGGGTTTTGAATTGTTTTTCTCACAATCCTGCGAGCTGTTCTGTCTGATATTTTTCTTGGTCTTCCAGATCTTGCTTTAACTTCCACTGTTCTTGATGACTGCCATTTCTTAATTACATTCCCAACAGAGGATATTGACATCTGAAAATGCTTTGCTATCTTCTTATAGCCTTCTCCAGCTTTGTGAGCATCAACTAGTTTCAGTTTTCTAGACAACTGCTTAGAAGAACCCATGGTGCAGATTGTTGGGGCAAGGTCAGTCTGGGCATTTTAAAACTTTTGAGACTGACATCATCTGGTCTTCCCAGATGATGATTGAGAACAATCCATGACAATGGCAGGTCTCAGCTTTGCAAAGGGGGCAGTGCATGCTATAAATTCTGCAGGGTGCCCAAACTTTTGCAGACGCCATTTTTTGGTTTTCTGTTATTTTGAAAGTGTAAATGATGGAAATAAAATCTAACTTTTTTGTTGACATATTATAAGAATGTCTAATCTGTAATTTGATGCCTTTTGGAGATTTTTCCATCTTTTCTTGGCTTCTTTATGCACATTATACAATTTTTACCTGGGGTGCCCAAACTTTCGATCCCCACTGTATATATATATATATATATATACACATACACACACTATAATGACAAAAGATACCTGCTTTTAGAAGCACATGAACTTTAATAGCATGTTTAGGAGTGTATCTATGGGAATGTTTGACCATTCTTCCAGAAACGCATTGGTGACGTCAGGCACTGATGTCAGGTCTGGCTCGCAGTCTCCATTCTAATTCATCCCAAAGGTCTTCTATCGGGTTGAGGTCAGGACTCAGGGTGCAGGCCAGTCAAGTTCCTCCACCCCAAACTCTCGCTCATCCATGTCTTTATGGACCTCGCTTTGTGCACTGGTGCGCAGTCATTATGGAACAGGAAGGGGCCATCCCCAAACTGTTCACACAAAGTTGGGAACATGAAATTGTCCAAAATGTCTTGGTATGCTAACGTCTTAAGAGTTCCCTTCTCTGGAACTAAGTGGCCAAGCCCAACCCCTGAAAAACAACCCCACACCATAATCCCCTCGCCGCCAAACTTTACACTTGGCACAATGCAGTCAGACAAGTACCATTCTCCTGGCAACTGCCAAGCCCAGTCATGTCCATTGGATTGCCAGACAGAGAAGTGTGATTTGTCACTCCAGAGAACACATTTCAGGGGTGTGGAAATTTTCTAAAAAACTACTTGTCCAGGGACTAAATTGGGGCCCCAATCTACTTGTCCCTCATACAATCTACTTGTCCAGATACATTTTTTTTTAACCAAAACTGTATTTAAATTGGAGGTGATTTTAGGAATGGAATTTTTTAACATTGCACTGTTTATCTCCTCCTGTCTCCAGCATCACAACCGGGAACTAGCAGGAAGGGGGGAAACCTTGCCGTGTGATGAACAACGATTGGCTGCTTTTCAGGAAAGGGTGGGTCAGGGCTTATACTTTAATCTCTTTTGCTGCCAGAGCTGTTTTGCACACATTTAAAAAATAATTTTAGGCCTGAAGATTACATAAAACCCCCAAACATTATATATTTTCTGAAAGCAGAGAACCTAGAGAATAAAATAGTGGTAATTCCAGTTTTTTATGTCACATGATTTTACCGCAAAATTTTTGTAAAAAATACAACTAAGTTAATTTTAGGGCACAAAAGAGCAATAATTTACCCTATTTTTTGTAAAATATAAAAGATGAGGTTGCACCGAGTAAATAGAGCTTAAAGCTCCTTATAGGTTACCAGTTTAGTGTTACGAAGGAGGTCTGGTGCTAGAATTATTGCTCTCATTCTGGTGTGCGTGGAAATATGTGATATGTGTATCGCAGTCGACGGTTTCATGCATAGGCACCCCAGCTTGTGCTTTTACGTTTGTACGTGCGTATATGTAATATTTTTTTTGGGGGGGGATGGTACAGTAGGTCCATAAATATTGGGACATCGACACAATTCTAACATTTTTGGCTCTATACACCACCACAATGGATTTGAAATGAAACAAACAAGATGTGCTATAACTGCAGACTGTCAGCTTTAATTTGAGGGTATTTACATTCAAATCAGGTGAACAGTGTAGGAATTACAACAGTTTGCATATGTGCCTCCCACTTATTAAGGACCAAAATGGGACAATTGGCTTCTCAGCCGTTCCATGGCCAGGTGTGTGTTATTTCCTCATTATCCCAATTACAATGAGCAGATAAAAGGTCCAGAGTTCATTTCAAGTGTGCTATTTGCATTTGGAATCTGTTGCTGTCAACTCTCAAGATGAGATCCAAAGAGCTGTCACTATCAGTGAAGCAAGCCATCATTAGGCTGAAAAATCAAAACAAACCCATCAGAGAGATAGCAAAAACATTAGGCGTGGCCAAAACAACTGTTTGGAACATTCTTAAAAAGAAGGAATGCACCGGTGAGCTCAGCAACACCAAAAGACTCGGAAGACCACAGAAAACAACTGTGGTGGAAGACCGAAGAATTCTTTCCCTGGTGAAGAAAACGACCTTCACAACAGTTGGCCAGATCAAGAACACTCTCCAGGAGGTAGGTGTATGTGTGTCAAAGTCAATAATCAAGAGAAGACTTCACCAGAGTGAATACAGAAGGTTCACCACAAGATGTAAACCATTGGTGAGCCTCAAAAACAGGAAGGCCAGATTAGAGTTTGCCAAACGACATCTAAAAAAGCCTTCAAAGTTCTGGAACAACATCCTATGGACAGATGAGACCAAGATCAACTTGTACCAGAGTGATGGGAAGAGAGAGTATGGAGAAGGAAAGGAACTGCTCATGATCCTAAGCATACCACCTCATCAGTGAAGCATGGTGGTGGTAATGTCATGGCGTGGGCATGTATGGCTGCCAATGGAACTGGTTCTCTTGTATTTATTGATGATGTGACTGCTGACAAAAGCAGCAGGATGAATTCTGAAGTGTTTTGGGCAATATTATCTGCTCATATTCAGCCAAATGCTTCACAACTCATTGGACGCTGCTTCACAGTGCAGATGGACAATGACCCAAAGCATACTGCAAAAGCAACCAAAGAGTTTTTTAAGGGAAAGAAGTGAAATGTTATGCAATGGCCAAGTCAATCACCTGACCTGAATCCGATTGAGCATGCATTTCACTTGCTTTTCACTTGCTGAAGACAAAACTGAAGGGAAAATGCCCCAAGAACAAGCAGGAACTGAAGACAGTTGCAGTAGCGGCCTGGCAGAGCATCACCAGGGATGAAACCCAGCGTCTGGTGATGTCTATGCGTTCCAGACTTCAGGCTGTAATTGACTGCAAAGGATTTGCAACCAAGTATTAAAAAGTGAAAGTTTGATTTATGATTATTATTCTGTCCCATTACTTTTGGTTCCTTAATAAGTGGGAGGCACATATGCAAACTGTTGTAATTCCTACACCGTTCACCTGATTTGGGTGTAAATACCCTCAAATTAAAGCTGACAGTCTGCAGTTAAAGCTCATCTTGTTCGTTTCATTTCAAATCCATTGTGGTGGTGTATAGAGCCAAAAATGTTAGAATTGTGTCGATGTCCCAATATTTATGGACCTGACTGTACCATCCCCCCCCCAAAAAAAATATTACATATACGCACGTACAAACGTAAAAGCACAAGCTGGGGTGCCTATGCATGAAACCGTCGACTGCGATACACATATCACATATTTCCACGCACACCAGAATGAGAGCAATAATTCTAGCACCAGACCTTTTTTTTTTCATCACATAGGGGACAAAGGCCCCTATGTGATGATTTTTGGTGACAGGTTCTCTGTGAGACATCCAAGGTCTAAAAGACCCTGCATGTCTCCCCTCTGCTCCACTGAATATAATGTGGTGCACATCGCACCATATTACATTCTTTCCCAGGGATTGCATTACAATCTCTCAAAGGGGACCTGGAAGTGACATCGTAACGTCACTTCCGAGTCAGCACAAGAAGGGGAGGGGAGCGGAGAGGCTGGCACTGTGTGTAAGCAATCAGTGGCAGCGCTGCTGCTGAATGCTTCTACCTGACAGGTGAGCCTGCTGCTTGCCCACAGCAGGGCTGAAGGTAGAAAAAACTACATGCCCGGTGCCCGGAACTACATGTCCCCAGCGTCGGGCGATAGGAATCCAACATCCCTGCATCTCCAGTGCTCTAGAGTCTAGTGGTGGCATGCTTTACACCACTGCATCCGATACATTGCATTACAGCTGGTGATGTAAGGCTTGGATGCAGCTGCTCGGCCATGGAAACCCATTCCATAAAGCTCTCTATACACTGTTGTTGTGCTAATATGAAGGCCCCATGAAGTTTGGAGGTCTTTAGCTATTGACTCAGCAGACAGTTGGCGACTTCTGCGCACTGTGCGCTTCAACATGCGATGACCCTGCTCTGTCATTTTACATGGCCTACCACTTCATGGCTGATTTGCTGTTGTTCCCAGTTGCTTCCACTTGGTTATAATAATAATTGTGGGCTGGAAGAGGCAGACTCTGGGCCTGAATATTTATGCAGTTTCAGCCAATCCCTGGGGAGGGGTGCCCAGTAGGTGGTTATGAAGGAGATAAATAGCCTGAGGCCTGAAGCAGCAGGGTTCTTGCCCAGGAGGAGAAGATCCCAATCTTAGGGCTGCTGCCCTTTGGGCAGGTTAGCTGAAGCCTAGTGCAAAGAAGTCTCAGGTTCATTGAGAGCTGGGTGGTCTATTGCAGAGAACTCACCAAGGTCCCAGCTTAGTCAAGTCAAGGGAGTGCACTGATGATCTGGCCTCAAGATTCATGGCATAGGTGTCTATCCAATGTTGGACAGGAGGTATCCAAGGATCTGGAGACACAGTGATTAGAAGTCTGAAAGTGGGATCCTAGTGACTGTCTCATGCCTTTTTTTTTATTATTATTATTATTATTATTATTATTCAGGATTTATATGGCACCAGCTGTTTGCACAGCGCTTTACAAAATGAAGGTAGACATTACATTACAATACAATTTGGTACAAGATGAAACAATCTAGGAGTAAGGGTTGAGTGATACAAAAGGTAATAGCTGTGGAGGAAATAGATTAGGAGATATCCGGGCAGATTGGAGTAGGGAGTTCTGGTGTCAGGAATGGACTCCAGCACTGGTGGTGGGACTCACCTGCCATGTGGGCTGCAGTACCAGGGTTGGCCAGCGGGTGCTCTCAGCAATCAGAAGCTCACTCCTGCAGGCAGCCATCACCTGAGGCTGATTGCAGGAGGTGTATTTAAGGAATGGCCAGACCTGCAGTCAGGGCCTTGGTGTTGTTTCCCATGAGCCCCTGTACCTTGTATCCTGTTTTCCTGTTCCTCTGCCTATCTGATTTGTTGCCGACTTGCATTGTTCCTGACCCTGCTGACCAATCTTCTGTTTAACCCCTGGCTTGCCTGACCATCTTTCTTCCTGATCCTCTGTACCGTGCTGCCCGTGAGTTACTGAACCCGGCTTGTGACCCTGACCATTCTCTGCCTGATCCACTGTACTGTGCTGCCCATGAGTTACTGAACCCGGCTTGTGACCCTGACTATTCTCTGCCTGCTCCTGTGGTACCTCACTGCCCGCACGTTGCTGACCTGGCCTGCCTGACTACGCCTGACGCTACCCAGACGATTCATCCATCCCGCACGGATCCAGTCACTACTGTCCAAACCTGCCAGCCCCTTCCCATCAGGCTTTCCCCCGGTACATACCCTCGGCGGACCCCTCTACCACAGTTGGGTGCACTCAGGGGCCGCGACCTGGTCTCAGTCCTGCACCAAGTCCATCCTCACCATCAGGGGCTCTAGTGAAAAGGCACACTGGGGCTTAGACTCCGCGTCCTGGGGGATCCTGTTCTGTGGGTCACTAGAGAGATCCCGCCGGGCGGTGCCTGACGGTACCTTACGGCCTGCCTGACCATTCCACCTCTCCAGCCCTGACTACGCCTGTGTTCCTGAAGCCTGCTACTTCCCTGTGTCAGTCCACACATTTCTGGTCACACCCGGATCCCTGACATCTGGTTTACAGCAAATGCGGTTACCTATCACACTGTAATGGAAAACTAAATAAACCAGCAACTGCACATTACATCACCAACATGTGATATCACCAAGGACATCCTTATTATGCTACAAAAACAGTTTATATTAAAGTGGTTGTAAACCCTTGCATAAACCCAGTGAAGTCACTGGCCTCAGGTGATACACAGAGATATAACAAATCCTCCTACATAAGTTGTACTTGTTTATCTATCCATCTTTCCCCTACATCCATTCAAAGGGCAGAATTTACATAGGATCTCTCAACTCTGAAAAGCAGGGGGCGGAGTGCTGAAGCTACATCACTGAGAAGAGCTCTGAGAGCTGATTGGAGGGAAAGGACACACCTCCCTTCACACAGCACACAGGAACAGAGCTGAGGCTGTCAATCACAGGCTGTTCACTCCCCTATTGCCTTTTTTCTCTTGGTGTCAGGAAAACTCGTCAGAATGGACTCATGCTTATAGCAGAGGAACTAGGCAGCGGACAGAAATTACACTTAGTGCTCTGGATTGAGACAAGTACACACTATAGAGGGAAATATGCTTTGTTCATATTTCATGTCTGAGGTTTACAGCCATTTTAACCAGAGTATTCCTCTGCTATTACTCTGCATAGCAGAGAAATACAAAGCAGTATGTTTCCCTAGTAAAACAGCACACAGCTAACCCTATGATCGCCCTAGATGTTAACCCTTTCCTGCCCAGTGCCATTAGTGCAGTGTTGGTGCTTTTTATTAGCATTGATCACTGTATTAGTGTCCCTAGGGATGTCAGTGGCAGTTAGTCAGTTCCCCCCAGTGTCAGAAGGTCCGACGCAGTCCCACTATAAGTCGCTGATCGCTGCCATTACTAGTATGAAAAAAAAATTGCAGTATATATACAGCCATTTATAGACGCCAGAACTTTCATGTAAACCAATTAATTTGCATATATTGGGATTTTTTTTTTTAGCAAAGACATGTAGCAGAATACATTTTGGCCTAAATTTATGATGTAATTTGATTTTTTTTTAATTTTTTACTGGATATGTTATATAGCAAAAAGTCACAAATATGTTTTTTTCAAAAATGTTGGTCTTTTTTTTTATAGTGCAAATGCAGAGGCGATAAAATAACACCGAAAAAAGTTCTATTTGTAAGGAAAAAAGAACATAAATTTCATTTGGGTGTTGCATGACCGCGCAATTGTCAGTTAAATTAACAGAGTACTGTATCACAAAAAGTGGCCTGCTCAGGAAGGGGGGTATGTTCTCTGGACGGCAAGTGGTTAACTAACAACATTATTCAGCCACTATCAACCTCACTAATATGAAGACCCTTTATATTCAGCCACCATTAGCCCCTGTAATGTGAGCCCCCTTTATTTTCAGCCAGCATCTGCTCTTTACCAAATACCTATCATAGAAAGCTCCCCACAATTTCTACCAGCAAATTTGGATTCCTCTCCCAACAATTTTCCCCTGACACACAGATGTGAAAACCCCTGTAACAGGGTATTTAAACTGAGAAGCAATGTAAAAGGGCATTTACACTAACCACCAATGTAACAGGGGCATTAACACTGGCCACCAAAGTAATGAAAGCATGTAAACATTCCACTAGTGAGCCAATAAAATAGTTGCCACTTTAAATGCATCTGTTACATCTGTTACATTGATAGTCATTGTAAATTTGCTTGCACATGATTGGATGATTAAAGTTAGCAAAGCTTCATCTCATCTCACTAAGATCTGGTGAAAATTCCCATTGCAAAGTGCAACCTCCCTTGTAAAGTGAACGGTCTATTTGCCTTTAGTAAATCAACCCTATTGCATTCTGCTGTCATTCTTCACAGATCTAAGAAGGTAGACTGAGGGTGAAGCACGTTTTCTCTCGCTTTCTGAATTTATCTGACATTGCTTACATAACACAGGTATGATAGTGGACTTCAGGGAGGGGTCAAACCCAGGCCCCTATTTCCCTCCTCCCCCTGGGTCATCTCCGTAATTAAACTTGTCCTTTAAATATGAAAAGTAACTAATGAATTAGTAGAATAAATACATATCAAATTTATTTGCGGCACTAACTGAACATTGAGAGGTGTTACTACAGCAATATAAATTTTCTTGCTTGTCTATTTCTTATAAATAATGAATCTTTAACCACTTCAATCCCTTAGGATGTAACAGTACATCGTTAGGTTGCCATGATCCAGGTACCAACATTTTCAGCCAAGTGCTTTAATATAGAAGTAATCCAAACAGCTCTACTGCAACCCAATCACTTCTACAGGGCATGAAAGGGAGCCCCCCCACCTGCCACCGCCCCAACTTTACCGAGCCAGTCACCGCCACCATAGTAGTGAACTGAAAGGGCAGAATATGCATCTGTACCTGCTTCCCCTCAATGATGTAAGAAACCAAAAGCAACAAGAATTCTGTCACTTCCAGATTTGGTTTGATGTTTACAAGCTGTTACCGGCTTGTAAAGCATCTGATCAAACCTATCTCAGTTTGATCAGATGCTTTTGAGGGCGGAGGAGAGATCTGGGGTCTAATAGACCCTAGATCTCTCAGTAAAGAGTACCTGTCACTGTCTATGCTATCACAAGGGATGTTGTTGAGCCGGCCAAGAGATTTGTTGCCATTCCATTGGCATGAGCAATTTCAAAGTGTGACATGTTAGGTAACTGTTTACTCTATATAACATCTTTTATACCAAAAATTGGGTATTATATTGGGTGGTCATGTGCACTACAATTCATGAAACTATTTTTTTCATGAAAATCTGTGTTTTAAAAATGGCTGAGCAAATATCGTGCAACATAAAAATTTTGCAACAGTGACCATTTTATTGGGGAGGGGCTACGACATCACTGGCCATTCTAGGACGACAGGTTCACACAAGGCATGCAGTGTTTGCCGTGCTGAAGACGCTACATTGTAACTATACATGCGGTTTTTAAATTCTTTTACATGTGAGTGCATTTGGGTACCTTATTAAAGAGCTAATTTTAAGAAGGATAAAGCACTATTGTTGGCATTTTTCTTTCCACTGAGGGCAAATGCAAAGAATATAGCAGGGGAGAAGTACCAAGAGAGTAAGATCCCAGCAGGGATAGGAGACGGGGAGCTGGCCAAGAGGGATTCACCATTCCTCATATGGTGCAACATACATCACTATAGTTCCTTGAAAGTGAACAAAAGCGCTATTAGCCTATCATAGGCTTCCCTGGAGGTGAGCGTACATCCTTATTTCACTGAGGAAGTCACCTGGAATCATTTAATTTATTTGTATCACTGGGAATTGTCACGGTTTTTCACAGAGACTTAATATTTGCATATGAGGAGCACTGGAAGTCACATTTTTATCTGTTTTTCATCACTTATTTCCAGAGATTTATTATTTGTATATGTTTATCACTGGATGTCACATTTTAGTTTTTTGATCACAATCGATGGTTTACAGTTTACATCACTGTTTATTGGAAATATGTATTATTATTTTATTTAATGAATTAATTTTAG